CGTGACTCGGTGGTGCTCCCGGGGTGCGGGGTGGTTGCCCCACAGTGACCACGAAGACCCAAGCTTCTCAGACCCATGTGGGGTCTGCTAGGAGGCCCGTCTGCAGGAGCGCCCCCCCCCCCCATGCCACACCACAGGCTGTCCTGAGCCAGGGTGATCTCTGCCCGCCCTGGGTCCCTGCTGAGGCTCCCACCTGCTGACGTCCCTCCAGGTCCAGAGAGTGTCCAGAACAACCACCCTCCCCTCCCCTCCATGGTCTCTGGCCCGTCTCCTGACGCAGCCCAGATGGGGACTGCCACCCTCCCCCACGCTGCCCCTCTGTGACACCTGAGTAGGGGCACAAGGGACCAGCCCACGGAGACAGAACCAGCCCCCTCCCTGTATCTGGGCACAGCGCCCTCCGGGAGGCGCTCTCCCCAGGCACCTGTGCTGGCTGGCATTTTCGGTGAACCCGCGACAGGCTGCCGTTCCACACTGGCCAAGGGACACTTGCTCCGAGCTCTGGAAGTCAGGAGGGGGGGAGACACTGCGGGAGCAGGAAGTGGTCCTGCAAGTGCGGTCCCTCTTCTGCCCTCTGTGGGCCATACCTGAAGCCAGGATGCCCGAAGCTAGCGTTTCCTCCTGACGCCCTCTGGACGCTCACCGGAAGGCCACCTTCTCCGAAGTTTTAGCTCCCCACCGCCACTCTGCACAGCCTCCTCCCATCTTAGCTCTCTTCTCAGTGCGCAGCCCCTAAAGTCCATGGGGCAAGCGCTTCCACCCGCTAGAGCCCAGAGCCGCGCCTGGCACACGGCAGGTGTGCTGTCAGCGTGGGAACTCCTGCTGAATCCCGCACAGGAAGCTGTCCCTGCGTTCACCCCAAGGGGGGGGGCGGGCCGAGGAGTCCTCCACTGTTCTACTTCCTCTGCAGACCAGGGGCTTCGGGGCTGAAAAGGAAGGGCTCTGGGGACAGGTGTCAGGGGCCTGACTTCCCAGCCACCCAGCTGGGTCCACACCTAAGGAAGGGTCACCTGTCCTGCAGCAGGTGACCTTGGTGACAGGCAGGGGCGGGGCCACTGGCCTGCAGGTTCAAGGCTGCCCACTCCTCTCTTCAGTAATGGCGGCTTCTAGGTGGGGCTGCGAGGTGAGCCCACCGAGCCTGCCTCCGCTTCTAGGACCCACCCCCCACCCCCACCCCCACGCGGAGACCAACCCCCCAGGGTGCATATCTCACCCGGCTGCTGCTGCTGGAAGTCGGTGTCCATGCGGGCCCTCTGTCTCTTTTCTTTTCTTTTTTCTTTTAAATGTTTTATTTATTTCTGAGAGAGAGAGACAGCATGAGCAGGGGAGGGTCAGAGAGACAGCGAGACACAGAATTAGAAGCAGGCTCCAGGCTCTGAGTTGGCAGTCAGCACACAGCCCGATGCGGGGCTCGAACCCACGAACTGTGAGATCACGACCTGAGCCAAAGTCGGACGCCCAGCCGACTGAGCCCCCCAGGCACCCCGTCTCTTTTCTTTTAAAGAAAAATCTTTTATTTTGGAAATTTTCTTTCTTTCTTTCTTTCTTTTTTTAAATGTTTTATTTATTTCTAGGAGAGAGAGAGAGACAGCGTGAGCAGGGGAGGGTCAGAGAGAGAGGGGGTCACAGACTGAAACAGGCTCCAGGCTCTGAGCTGGCAGTCGGCACAGAGCCCGACGCGGGGCTCGAACCCACGAACCGCGAGATCATGACTTAAGCGAAAGTCGGACGCTTAACCGACTAAGCCACCTAGGCACCCCCTTTTTTTTTTTTAAAGATGTACTTAAGTAATTTCCATACCCGATGTGGAGCTCTCACTCACAACCCTGAGATCAAGAGTCGCACGCTCCACCGACTGAGCCAGTCGGGTGCCCCTATTTAGAAAATTGCAGACACACACTGAAGCAGAGATAATAGCATCATGATCGGCCACGTAACCTCCACAGCGATCAGCATTTCCCATCATTCGTTTGGTCTCTCTGCCCCCCTCTCTTCCATCTTTTTATTTTCCGGGACGCTTGTAAAGCAAACCTGCTCTTCCTACAAAATTTACCCACAAATACACTTCCATGCGTGTCGCTAACAGATCGGAGCTTTTAAAAGCACAATAATACCACTGCCGTATCTGTTAAAATTAGTAATAATTTCTATTTTTTTAATTTAAATTCAAGTTAGGTAACATACAGTGTAGTCTTGGCTTCAGGAGCACAACCCAGTGATTCATCGCTTACATACAGCACCCAGTGCGCATCCCAGCAAGTGCCCTTCTCAGTGCCCATCCCCCACTTAGCCCATTCCCCCCCCCTTGTCAACCCTCAGTTTGTTCTCTGTATTTAAGAGTCTCATAATTTGCCTCCCTCTCTGTTTTCATCTTATTTTTCTTTCCCTTCCACTATGTTCATCTGTTCTGTTTCTCAAATTCATTATTTCTTTAATTTAATTTTTTTTTTTTTCTGAGAGAGAGACAGCGCAAGCAGGGGAGGGTCAGAGAGGGAGGGAGATACAGAATCTGAAGCAGCTCCAGGCTCTGAGCTGTCAGCACAGAGCCCGACGCGGGGCTCGAACCCGTGACGCACCAGATCATGACCCAAGCCGGAGTCGGACGCCCAACCGACTGAGCCCCCCAGGCGCCTCCATAATTTGTTACTATTATCTAATACCCAGACTGTGTTCCATTTCCCACTGTTAGCTCACAAATCCCTTTTTATAGCAGGTCTGTTCATTTCAGGATCTGTACACATTTCACGCACGGCACTTGGTTGATCTGTCCCTAAGGCTCCAGGCTTGCAAGTGGCTCTGACGCTAGATTCAAGCTTCTCCAACGCACGTCACTGGGAGTTTAAGACTCCCCTCCTTGGGCTCTACCTGGACCAGTGAGGACAGGATCCCTGGGGCGCATCTGGGTCCCGTGGCCGCGTCTGCTTTATGCATTTTTATGTATCTACTTGTTAAGCTCCCCCTGTGATTGCGCCCCCCCAGTGGACAGGTGTCGAGTTGCCGCAACTCGGAGAGGGGAGGGATGCTCGTGGCATCTAGTGGGTGAAGCCCAGAGACGCTGTTCGGAGTCCCGCAGGGCCCAGGACGGCCCCCATGACTGAGAATGACCCAGCCCCGGAAGGATGTCAGTGTCAAGTGCAGACACAGACATTCTGACACCGAAGTACAACCCTTTCTGGTCCCAGGGGAGGGGGCGGGGAGCACGTTGAACTGGATTCTCGGCATGCCTCATCTCACCCCATGCTGTTGACAAAACACACCCTCCAGGCCACCGCTCAGCAGCAGCCCCCACCCTGCAGCCCTGAGTGCCGACAAAGTCTCTCCCTCGGCTTGGGGCAGCAGAGCCCACCAGCCGGGTGACGGTGACCTCCCTGCGCCTCAGTCCCCGGGGAGATGGAGAGAATTAGTGTCTCCCCCTCACAGGGCCCGTCCCGAGCGGGTGACGACGGGGGGGGGGGGTTCGCGAATCTGCGGCTGTCAGTGACAGTGGTCCTATTCACGGGGGACCCCGGTGCCCGGCGCAGAGTAAGTGCTCAAAACTCATTCGTAGAAACGAGTAAATCCCCACGTGTCCCTTGTGGAAAAGGAGGCCCGGAAATGCACCGAGCATTCACTCAGCCCCCCAGCCCCCTGAGGGCTGCTGCGCCTGCGGGAAAGGCCTCGCCGGCCCTGCAGCCGGCCCTCCACCTGGCCGGAAGCTGGTGGCCGTGCCCGCCGTCCCCAGGGGCTCCCCCCCCAGTGAAGGGGACAATTCCGAGCAGCCCTGCCCCACAGCTCGCAGCCAGGACGCAAGTCCCTGGGCAGCCCCCCTCCCCTCCCCGTGGGGGACCAGGAAGGAGCGTCCAGTGGCTAACCCTGCCCCCTTCTGTGCTTCTTTTGGGAGGGCGAACACGACACATTACCTGTCACTCCTGACTGATACAAAAGATGGCAACATTTTTAGGAATGACTCAAAGGGCGAACACAGCTAGGATGCTGACTGTATTTCCTGCAACTCCGTTCTTTCCTGCTTTCGCCAAGGGAGTGTCACTGTCCTGCTCTGTGACTCAGTTTCCCCCTTCCAAGCCTCCAGAAGTACACACAGCACAGGGCGTGGAGCCCTTGGGCGTTAGATGGAACTGGCCTGAGAGGCTTCTACGGCGACAAGAAAACCGGTGGTGGGGGGTGCGTCTGTTCCTCCTGGCTAGCGGGGTAGGCGGGCGGAGACCTCATCAGGGAGCCTCCTGGGAAAGCCATCTGCATAAAAGTCTCCGTACCCACCGAGGGGACCTGGGGAGTTACTCCCCGCTGGGCATCAGCAAAAATCTGAAGCGGGGGCAGCGGCCCGGAGCCAAGGCCTCACACCCCCTCTTGCCGCATCCTGCGTGAAGAGCGACGGCGCGAGCAGAGAGCCAAGGGGCCCGACCCCGACACCAAGGCGACCGCCTTTTGATCACGAGGGCCATCCGAAGCCCCATAGCTCCCCAAGATATGGGGGGCGTCGCTTCCTTGTCCCCAGGGCCCCACGCAGGGGTAGGGGACTGGGGATGGCGAGATGCTGGAGCCTCCCACTGCTCGCCTCCCCTCCCTGCAGCGGGGCGATGGGGCCACTCAAGCATGGCCACATGGGACGGGGTGACCCCGGAGCCCCTCTCCACACACACCCCCACCCACCCACCACCAGGGCTGGGGTGCACGGCCTCAGGGAGCCTGGCACCCCGCCCCGGGGAGGGGCCCAAACTTCCCCCGGGCCCCACCCTCGGCCTCCTCCCCAGGCCGGGCGAGAGGAAACTGAGGCGGGAGGCCGGAGGCGCGGGCGCCGGGCGCGCCCCTGGCACGGTCCCCGGGAGGCGGCGGCGGGCGGGCCTGCTCCGCCCCCGCGCCCGGCCCAGGCGATCCGGCGCCCGCGGGCGGGGCGGGGCTGCGGGCGGCCCCGCCCCGAGGGGCCGGGGAGGGGGAGGCCGGAGGCGCGCGCGGCGGCGGCCCGGAGCGCCGGCCGGGGCGGAGCGGGGGCCCCAGTGCGCCGCCGGGCCCGGGCCATGACCCCCGCTGCTCTGTCTTGCAGGCTCGTCGCCGCGGCCCCCGGAGCCCGGCCGCCGCCGCCGCCGCCGCGCGCGCCCGGGTGGGCCCCGTGCGCCCCGGGCGCGGCTCCACAGTGAGCCCCCCAGGAAGCGGTGAGTGACCTGCGCCGCCCGCCCAGCCCCTTCCCTCCCCGAGAGCCGCCGTCCACCGAGCGGCGTCCACGCCCCGCCGGCTCCCGCGGCGCGAGGGGCGCGCCCGGGGAGGCCGGGGGTCTCCAGGGGCGGTGGGTGGGGGGCACCCTCAGGGGCCCGCGCGCCCCCCTAACTTCTCGCCGACTTTTCTGCGGAGACGCGGATCTGAGCAAAGTTGGGCCCTTCGGGCCGCGCTGCGACTGACACGGGGCGGGCAGGGGGCGTGTCCGCGCGTGGGCGCCGCCGGCCCCCCGCTCGCCCCCCGCTCGCCCCCCGCCACCCCGCGCTGTCACGAGGTCCTCGCGAACGGGCCAGACCGCCATTCCTCCGGGCTGGGAAGGAGCCCCGCCGGGGGTGGGGGCGGCGGCCTCGAGCGGAACCATTTCCCCTCTATCGAGTATTTCAAACTATATTATTTATGAGCCGCCTCACTTAGGGGCCCCCGTGGCTCCCGGGGCATCAAAGCTGGTCTGCAGCCGCAAAGGGCGACCGGTGTGAACGCACGCGCGGCTCCTCCGGGCGGGCTGAGCTCAGCGGAACCCGGGAGGCTCGGGTTCGCGGCGGAGACCCGCGGCTCGGCCGCGTGGGGGGCGGGGTCGGGGCGGTCGGACTGCCCCCAGGCGCCCCGCTTTGGGGTCTGGGTGGAACCGCCTGGAGAGACCGTCTGTGATCGCCCAGCAGCCCGAGGGGAGACGAAAGGCGGCAGGGTGCAGGCGCTTCTGAGATCGTGCAGCCCTTGTGGGAGGAACGCCCCCATCTTACAGATGAGGAAGTTGAGGCCCAGAGGCGCGCAGCAGGATTGGCAGGCCCTGGTGTTTCCTGCCCAGCCCCCACGAATCCCTTCACCTGTCCCGCTTACCTCGTCCGGGCCACGCCCCCCTTGGGTTCTTGGTCCCCACCCTGGGTACCGGTTCCTCCGGATGGATGGAAGGGGGTGCGGGGAGCAGTGTATTTATGGAAAGACTTAATCCCTCTGCAAGCCCCAAGGAGGCTGAAAAGCTTCACCACCTAATCTCTTCTCCCTGGAAGCCCTTCCCTGCCTGGTGGGGTGCAACTCAGTGGGCACTGAGCCCGAGTTCAGTCCCCCTGAGGCCCAGAGCCGGGACCTGCCCCTCAGCGGGCATGGAGAGAGAGCAGCGCTATTGAACACAGAGTGAGCACCTGCTGTGTGCCAGACCCCGCGGTGGGAGCTGCTCCGGTCGTCTGTGTGCTGCCTTTTCATCCTCTGACCTGGGTGGTATCCCCATTTTACAGATGGGGACACAGAGGCTCGTGAAGGTCATGGGGCGGGGAAGTGGCAAGGCCAGGCCTCTGGGACCACCAAGTGCAACTCCCCCCCCCCATTAAAACATGATTACGATATAATATACACATGGCAATATGTGCACATCAAAAGCGTACACCCACATCTAGAAATAGAACCCCCCGGGGAGCCTCCTCCGGCACACACCCCACCCCCACCCCCAGTCTGCCCTGGGAGCCCGTGCTGGTTCCTTGTCTCCCGCAGGCAGTGCCCAGCTGGTTTACTTTTCTCTTTGCACTGAAAACCTTCAGGAGGTGACCTGGCAGGTACAGGCAGGCACTCATTTGTGGCCCCTGTTGTCAAGGCTGATGGAAAAAACAATTGCAGGGGCGCCTGGGAGGCTCAGCCAGGTGAGCATCCGACTTCGGCTCAAGTTGTGATCTCACAGCTTGTGGGTTCGAGCCCCGCGTGGGGCTCTGTGCTGACAGCTCGGAGCCTGGAGCCTGTTTCAGATTCTGTGTCTCCCGCTGTCTCTGCCCCTCCCCCTTCTCACATACACACAATCTCTCTCTGAAAAATAAACATTAAAAAAAAATCGCACGTTTTTTGGGGCACCTGGCTGGCTCAGTCAGAAGAGCATATGACTCTCAATCTCAGGGATGTGAGTTCGAGCCCCACATTGGGTGCAGAGATTACTTAAGAAAAAAACTTTTTTTTAATTACATGGGGTTTTTTAAAAATGTTTATTTATTTTTAGAGAGAGAGAGAATCCCAAGCAGGCTCTGCAGTATCAGGGCAGAACCTGATGTGGGGCTTGAACCCACGAACTGTGAGATCATGACCCAAGCTGAAATCAAAAGTCAGATGCTCAGCCAACTGAGTCTCATGCGGGGCCCGATCCCACAAACCGCGAGATCATGGCCTGAGCTGAAGTCGGACGCTCAACCGAGCCCCCCAGGCGCCCTTTTAATCGCATGTTTTTAAATGAACTGGGGGTTCATTAACCATTAACCTCGCTTCTGACAGCATACCTCTGATTTTTAAATAAACACTTTTATTGACATACGACATTTGAAAAGGCGCACAAACCATGAGCACTGAACTTGATCACGCAGAGGCCCAAGCAGGCAGCTGGTGCGTATTTTGCTCAGAGTCCCATGGTCAACCACGGGGAGGCCAAGGCTGGACCCCCGGCGGCCCAGGGCCCCGTGCCATGACAGAAAGGAGGTGCACATGTCCGTGTGGGTCCTGCCCCCCCCCCCCAGCCTCTGTCACTCGCTGCTGGTGAGCCGCTGTGGCCCGGCAGCTGTCCCCGCTGTCCCAGAGAGGGGCCCGCGGCCCGTGGGCCAGGGAGGTGCTTGTGTTTGCACTCTGTACCAGGATGGAGGCGTGTCAACGCTTGTAGCCGCTGTTCCCGGCACAGACCCTTTGGCTGGAATTGCAGGAATTCTAATCCCATTACAAAAAGAAAGTGCCTTTTCTAAAGAAGGAAGAAAACTAAGATGTTCCCTGTGCCGCCCGGGAGCCCAGTGGCCCGCCTGTCGGTACCTGCTCTGCGGGCGCCAAGAGCTTGCCCAGATGCCCCCGGCTGGGAGGGGCTCCGTCCCGGCAGTGGGTCCCCACCCTTCGGCAGACTGTCGCCTTCCCCGGCCATGATTCTTCACCCCCGCCCTCTCCTCGGTCTTCCACTGAGGCCTGTGTTAGGGAGGTGAGGCGCCACTGGACAGTGGCCACGGGGAGGTGGCCACGCAGAGACCAGGGCCAGACTCGCCGCTGGACGCTGTCGTTCGCTCACTTCCCTCTCTGGCCTCCGCGTCCTGCTCTGGGAGACCCAGGTTAGAACTAGGACCACGGGGGGCTAGGCGCCAGGGTTAGCAAATAGAAATAGGGGCTGCCCCTGGCTGGCTCAGTCGGGGCGAGCGACTCTTCTTCTTGGGGTCATGAGTTCGAGCCCCACAGTGGGTGTAGAGATTACTTAAAAATAAAATCTTTTTTTATTGCTGTTTGATTTTTTTAATGTTTATTCACCTTTGAGAGAAAGAGACAGAGCGAGACAGAGCACAAGCGGGGGAGGGGCAGAGAGAGGGAGACAGAATCTGAAGCAGCTCCAGGCCCTGAGCTGTCAGCACAGAGCCCGACGCGGGGCTTGAATCCACAAACTGCGAGATCATGACCTGAGCCGAAGTTGGACACTTAACTGATTGAGCCCCCCAGGCGCCCCTGTTTTGTTTTTTTTTTTTAATATTTTTATTTATTTCTAGGAGAGAGAGAGAGAGACAGCGTGAGCAGGGGAGGGTCAGAGAGAGAGGGAGACACAGACCCTGAAATAGGCTCCAGGCTCTGAGCTGGCAGTCAGCACAGAGCCCGACGCGGGGCTCGAACCCATGAACCGCGAGATCATGACCTAAGCGAAAGTCGGACGCTTAACCGACTAAGCCACCCAGGCGCCCCAAGCTCTTTTTAATTTTAGAGAGAGACAGAGTGTGCGAGCAGGGGAGAGGGGCAGAGGTAGAGAATTTTAAGCAGGCTCCATGCTTAGCACAGAACCCAGCGTGGGGCTCAGTCCCACTACCCTGGGATCATGACTTGAGCCAAAATAACAGTTGGATGCTCAACTGACTGAGTCACTCAGGCGTCCCAAAAATAAATGATTTAAGGGGCACCAGGCTGGTTTCGTTGGTAGAGCATGGCATTCTTAATCCCGAGATTGTGAATTCAAGCCCCACGTTGGGTGTGGAGCCTACTTTGAAAAAAAAAGAAAGAAAAGAAAAGGGGCTCTGTCAGTTAAGCGTCCGACTTCGGCTCAGGTCATGATCTCATGGTTCGTGGGTTCGAGCCCCGCGTCGGGCTCTGTGCTGACAGCTCGGAGCCTGGTGCTGCTTCGGATTCTGAGTCTCTCAGCCCCTCCCCCACTCGTGCTGTCTCTCCCTCTCTCTTAAAAATAAGCATTTTAAAAAAAGAAAAGAAAATCTTAAAAAACAAAAACAGGATGCCCAGTTAAGTTTGAATAAATGATGAAGATAAATGAGCAAGGATTTATAATAGGAGTATGTCCTGTGCACTAATCGGACACTATCTGTTTTATAATCTGGAACTTTTTCTCTGCGGCCACTTCCAACTCTAGACCTGTACGATTCACTCCAGAAAGATTTCCTCTCCCCCTCTGGAGCCCAACGGCCGATCTGCAAAAGTAGGAACTGAAGGGACTCAGCAGACCCCCAGGGGCCAGGCCTCTAGAAGTAGCGCCCCCCCCCCCCCAGTCAGGAAGTGCTACATCGTAATTCTTTTCTGCTCGGTGCAGAGGCTGTGCACCGCGGCCTGTAGGGCGGCTGCGTACCTGCGGCTGCAGGTAGTGTCTTCAAGCCCGCGGGGGAAGCAGGCGCAGACAACTTGGCCGAGCGTGCCCTTGCCCTGGCAATGCTCGTGGTTTCAGAGAACCGTGTGCCGTGCAGAGGGGCTGATATCCATCTCTCTCTTGGTCGCTCAAGGGAGGGGGACCCCCCCTTCCTGCAGGAGGAAGGAAGTTTGTATCATTGCCTGTCTCTGTCGCAGGAGAGGACCCCGCCGTGGCCATTTGGTGGTAGAGAGGGTTTTATGCCTGTGGGTGCAAGAAAGAACCTGTTCTACTTCAAGCTGTTGTGCAAATAATTAACAATCTGATATTTCAAAGGGACCGTAAACAGCACGATTCAATATGAAAGGGAGGTTTTCACACTCCCGCCAAAGTGTGAAGGGAGGACATTTATACCTAAACTAGCCTGAGGGCACTGGAGCCTGGGGGGACCCCTCCCGCCAGATTTTTTCCTTTCTCCCTTTAAATCTTCATTTTCTAAAAATTTTTAAATGTTTTATTTATTTTTGAGAGAGAGACAAAGAGACAGAGCATGAGTGGGGGAGGGGCAGAGAGAGAAGGAGACACAGAATCAGAAGCAGCTCGAGGCTCCGAGCTGTCGGCACAGAGCCCGACGCGGGGCTCGAACCCACAAATCGCAAGATCATGACCTGAGCCGCAGTCAGACGCTCCACTGAATAAGCCCCCCAGGCGCCCCTGAGCAGAGTAATTTTTATAATAATCTCGGCCCAAGACTTGGCTTTTCGAGAGCACTGGCTTGATCTCTGTCAGCCGTCATTGCCGTGAGGATGATGGAGGCTGCGGATTGCTCGGCCTCCGTTTGTTCACCCAGGCTCAGCTCCTCCCAGGCAGGGTCCCCGGGTCACAACAGTGACCGCCTTCCCCGAGGCTGTTGGCAGGAGGCCTGTTTCACACATGAGGACCAGACTCTCCGACCGAACTGCAGAACCTCAGGCTCAGAGAGGGAAATGACTTGGCTGAGGTCACACAGCTCTGGGACCGCAGTTCTCCCTCGGTCCCCTGGGCCACTCCCCACGGCCGCCCACCTTCTGTCCTGCGGGGAGGGGGGAGCTGGGCGACGATAGTCATGGATGAGGAGTGTCAGTGTGAAAATCCCCCACCTGGGAGTTTTGGAAAGCTGCACCCAGCAGGGGCCACACCTGCTTCCTCTGCCCCTTTCATCTCCCTCTGTCCCTCCCCCTTCTCCCCTTTCCTTCTTCCTTTCTTCCACCTTCCCTCCCTCCTTCCCGCTGAGTGTTTTGAGATGGTTTATTTTTTAAGCTTATTTGTTTATTTTGAGAGAGAGAGGAGGATTGGGGAGGGGCAGAGGCTGGAGAAGGAGAGTCCAAAGCAGGCTCTGTGCTGTCAGCGGGGAGCCCCCTGTGCGGCTCGATCCCCTGAACCATGATATCGAGACCTGAGCTGAAATCAAGCGTTGGATGCTTAGCCGACTGAGCCCCCCAGGCACCCCAAGATGGGTGTTTTTAAGTTACAAGGCGGCTTCAGGACAACACCTATCAATTCAGGACAACCCTGGGGACATGGTGCCCCCGGCACAGCCTCCCGGGGACCAGAGCTCATCGCCAGCTGCATCACAGCTGTGTCTAGGAAAACGGGGTCTGGGGCACAAGACCGCTGCGTGTGCCCCCGCTGGGAGGCAGTGGTGTGGGGCGCGGAGGCTGCGGGGCCCGTTGTCTCTGCCCTTCTTTCCCCAGTTGACTTTTCTGGACATAGTTTCAAGCTTCCAGAAAAGTTGCAAGATCACCAAGTGCCCATCGCGTCCTTCCCTGGACACGAATCCTAGCTCACTTCCACGTAAATCATTGTCTAAGCCCTGGGATGGGGGGGGGCCGTCTGGAGGGGGTGGTCAGTCTGTTGGGCACCCGGCTCTTGATTTCGGCTCAGGTCATGATTTCAAAATCCGTGGTCTGGAGCCCCACGTCCGGTCCAGCTCCACACGGTCTAGAGCCTGATTGGGATTCCCTCCCTCTCTCTGCCCCTCCCCTGCTCTCTCTCTCTCTTTAAAAACAACAAACCCCCAGATGGGCCGCACGTATGATCTGTCGAGTGCACTGCGGCCACCACGTAGAGACCACACAGAGCGCACAGTGACGCCAGTGGGCGTGCCCCACACGCAGCGTGTCTGTCCTGGGTTCGCTGGTACGTGTGCGGCTTGCGGCGGCCAGTGTGGCCCTGGGTGCGTCTGCTTGTGAGCCCGACCTCAGGCCTGCAGACCTCTGGGCCCGAGACCCAGCCTGGGGAGGGTAGGGAGAGGCAGGGGTAAGGTCTAGACCACCACCTCCCCACCCCCATTCTGTGGTTGGAAATGTGGCTCTAGGGCCCAAAGTGCCGAGTTTGAACCCTGACCCCACCACGTGCTACCCATAAACCCTTGTGCAAATGAACCTCTCTGTGTCTGTGTTTCCGGCTCTGTGAGACGGGGATGGTCCCGGGCTCTAAGGCCTCTTGTGAGCATTAACTGACCAGGAATCTCAGGCCAGGAGCCCTGGTGGGTGCTGGGCACGCAGAGAACGCTCCAGAAACGACCCCCATTGTCCTCACTGCCTCTCTCTTCCCCCAGCCCGGCCCTTCCCCTCCCCGAGGAAGGACACCCTTTCCTTGGCACCCCATCCTGCGACTAGAAGCCCTTGGGGAGCTTTTAAACACCCCAGTGCCAGGCCCACACCGCAGGGCAATTATCCCTGAATCTCTGGGGTGGCATCCGGGCATCGGAATTTTGCATTTCTCACCTGGCCACGGGGCCAGGGCCACCCTCGGGGGGAGAGTACGGCCCTTTCCGCTCTCTGGGACGGTCATAAATCACAGCAGCTGACACTTCTTGGGCGTGGAGCCAGGCGCCCTCCTGGTAACTCCGTCTTCCATGCGGCTCAGCAACACCTCCAAGAACATCACCCCCATTTCAAAGATGAGGAAACTGAAGTCCAGGTTGGTTGAGGGACCTGCCTGTGGTCACCTGGCTGAGCCAGGCCCTGGCCCGGCCAGGAGGGCACGTGGCTCCAGGACCCGCTGCCACGGCGAAGACACTCCACTGGCGTCCCTCCCTCCCACTCGCGTCCCGGTCCCCCTAGACCGTCCCCCAGCAGACGTCTCCAGGCCGCCTGCTTCCTGTCTGTCCCACAGATGCAGCCTGGATGAACTCAGAACCCCCCCCATCTCCTGACCCTGCGTGTCTCCTGGACCTGAAGCTGCTTCTCCGCGCTCAGGCCCCACAACTTCTGGCCCGGAGCGAGCTTCTCCGACCTTAACAGGCACATGACTCCCAGGGGGCCTTGTTAAAATACCGATTCAGCTGGGCGGGCCCCAGACGCAGCTTGGCTAATAAGCTCCCAGGGGGGCCGAGGCTGCTGGTCCATAAGCACAGCTCTCGTCCCGAGCGCCTGGGGGACCCCAGCATTTCCTAGGCATCGATGCCAGCCTCTGGGCAGGGCCAGGAGATGATGGGTGTCAGAGCGCAGGCCGGGCCTTGGTCACACCCCTGCGCTGGAGATCAGAGGGGCTCCTCTCCCGGCACCCTCCGTCCCTCTCCCGCCCCCAGCCTGGCACACAGGCGGCTCCCTGTGAAAGGACACCCCCCTCCCTCCAGCAACCTCTCAGACACAAGCACCCTCAGAGGTGACAACAAGAGCCTCCCCTTCCCCGGAAGGGCCTGCAGAGCCTCACAGGCCCCTGGGGGCAGGAGGGGGGAGCCCCGGGGTTGGAACCCCAGCTCCTCTCTCCTCATAAGCTGGCTGGCCTTGGGCGGGGGATACTAGCGCTCTGAGCCTTGACTGCCACGTCTGTAAATGGGGACAGTAGTAACGCCTCCCAGGGTTGTGGCGGAGAGTGTCAGGTGCGCACAGTCAGATGCCACCTGTTTCATTCATCAACCACTCAGCTCGCTAAGGGCACGTCATACTGTGACAGATCGTGAGGACACTGGTTGGGACACTGAACTCCCATCAACCAAGGTCTGGGTGCCCCTCATCTGTCAGATCTCCAGAGCATGTCATTTTTAAAGAGGGGCCGCACCGTAACAGAAGGTGAGCCCATCGCGGTGGGCTCAGAGCCGCCTGCAGCCCCTTAATGGAAAGGCCAGTGGGCGTTGGCTCGGAACGTGGGCCCCGGCCACACCCTCACCTCAGCTGCACCCCATGCTCCAGGACCTCTGGTATATTTAGCTCCGAGGCACCTGAGAGTTTTTCCGCCAGCACCAGCTCATCTGTGAGCAAACGCAGCCCAGATGCAGCCAGTGCGCACCCTGACCTCACTAGTTACTGGCGGTTTCTCTCCCTTTACTTCCTGTTGTGCAGCCGTGGGGCCTTGCCTGGCCGGGCTGGGGGGGGGTGGGCACGCTTGGCCACACATGGCACCAAACAACCCCCTTCTCTCCCCACAGACCTGCAGAGGCACCACCATGGGACTTAAGCTGTCCTGCCTGAAAGGTAAGGGGGGCGGCTCCCCCACCACCTCTTCCGGGGGTGGGGTGGGCGGTGAAGGGATGAGGCAGGAGAGAGCAGGCCACCAGTCAAGGCAGCATCTGTACACAGCAGGTGCCTTATAAATGCTTGCTCTGGCTCTGAGCGCTCCTTCAGGCCTTCCCTCTCAGGGGCAGGTGAGGGACCTGGGAATGCCACCACGGTGCCCTTGGCCCTTGGCTCCTCCCTCGGGGGGATTAATCCCAACCGCGGAGAGCAAGGGGAGGAAGAGTCGGACACACACGGCCTGCTTGCTCTCCCCACTGCAGGCCTGGTGTCACCAACATAGGGCACCTGTCTGCGGGGGGCGGGGGAAGGTTCTAGAAGGACTCGGCATCACTGTGGCATGCTGTAGGTATTGGCACGGGCCTCGACGTCTGTCTCTGCCCTAGACCCTTCTGTGCCGCGTCTGGATGAGCCCAGGGCCACCTGCACCCACCCAGAGACCTCCCCCCTTGAAGCCCGTTATGGTGGGACAAATGCCCCCCAGCCTGAAACCCCAGGGGTCGTTCTGACGGCCGTCCTCGCCCATGTGTGGCATGCCCAGCAGGGCTGACCCACCTCTTGGATGTTTCGGGGGTGCCCCTGGCCCCATCCCCTCGCCGCTGAAGTCAGGGCTGTGGGAAGGTCCCAGGGCCAGGATGTTGGAGCTCAGGAGCGCCTCGGATTGGCCAGCTTCGGGCGTAGGCCGCGCCCCTCTGAGGCGGGGGCGGGGGGGGGGGCGGCGGCACCCAGACCCCGCCCTCGGAGCGCAGGACCCTCTTCCCTCAGACTGCTGGGCAGGACCCCCGGCGCCGGGCACAGGCGAGGCATTCGGGGACAAGCTTATCGTTTGGGGCTTGAATTGTGGCAAAATGTGCGTAACGTCAAATTTGCGCTCTTAACCGCATGTAAGCGAACAGTGTGCCGCGTCCCCACTGTCCGTCTGCAAACCTCCGCTTTCCAAACCGCAACTCCGCCCGGCCGTTGGACACACTCCCCCCCCCCCCCCCCCCCCCCCCCCCCCCCCCCCCCCCCCC